AATAGCAAAAATTCACTGGAAGAGCACGTTTTAACGCGTAACAGAGTGTTAAAATGCGCTGGCAACAACAAAAGTTTCTCTCGAAGAGAGCGTTTTAGCGCCTTTATGAGCGTTAAAACACTCTAAGGCAGACAGAATTATCCTATGAAAGCGTTTTAGCGCTCTAATGAGCGCTAAAATGCGCTGATACGTCCAACTTCAGGCCCATATTAGATTTTGTATCTGAATCAAGAGCTGAGAAAAGATTTCATGAAGATGTGATGAACGGAAATTAAAAGAGATGTTCTTCTCTATAAATAAAGGGCCTTGGCATTCAACGAAGAGTTTTGGGGAGAGCGTTTGAAGAATCAGGGGGAGGAATCCTGTTGCGGAGCATTGGAGCACTGAAGAGTAAAGACAACATCACATCAATGGAGTCTTGGGGAATTATTTTCTTTCCAATTGTTTTTGAATTTAATATGCTAGGCTAAGTTTTTATGTAGTTAGGGATAGATGAAACCCAATTGAATCTTTATGTTAGGAATTAATTTGTTTATGAATTCTTCTCTTTTATATATTTGAATGAATTTATCTGTTTTTAATGTTTTCTATGAGTTTGCTCCTTATAGATTGATTTAGGAGAATTGTATGACAATAGGGATGTTGGTGCATGAACCTTGATTTGATAAATTCATTATAATCCTTATGATCTAGTGATAGACATAGAGCAATTGTGCAAACTTTGAATTCTTGATTTTAATGCATGTTTTCTCGATGAACAACCGGGGAACTAGGGTTTATCTAAGATCACATAGAATTAGAATAACAAGGAATTAAGCCTTAATTAACTTAGAAAGAATTGATTGGCATTATATTAAGATCAAATTCTTGACTATTTAATTCATAGCATAAAGAGGAAATTGGGAGAAGACGAAACCTTAACTACGCTCTTTCTTGATTTTCAAAACATTCATCTTTTTACTTTCTTGCTTTTAATTCTGAAATTGAATGTTATTGCTTGTTTTTAATTTCAATTCTTTTCATCTCAAATTCGATTGTCCAACTAAATCGTTGTTAGCGAACTAGTGCTTGAAAACCAATCCTCATGGGAACGATCTCGTACTCCGTCCACTTTTATTACTTTTACGATCAGTGCACCTACCGAGTCGCAACAAGTTTTTGGTGCCATTGTTGGAGATTGGGTCCTTCAACATTAGAAGTAGCTAAAAATTGTTTAGATTGGACTTTTTACTTTTTTTGCAATTTAAATTTTCTGTATAAAAAGCCTTATTCTATTGTTAGACAAGAATAAACACAAAACAGTTGTTTCTTTCCTATGACATGATATGAAGATGAAAAAATATAAATTAAATAAAATATCTCAAATTCTTTAAAAAATTTATTTTGTTTGTGATATCTCATCGATATTAATTTAAGCTTATATATATATATATATATATATATATATATATATATATCTATATATATATAAAGGAGAGTTCACTGCTGAAAAGTTTTGCCAAGTGTCACTCCCTGGTTAATTCTACAATTTGGTTATATACAAACTTTCTTTATTGGGTAAATTGGAAAAAAAAACTCTTTTAAAAATTGAATTTTAATTTTTAAATCGAATAATAGTTGCAGACAAGGCATTGAATGTCCCACTGCCCATCACATTGGTATCCGAAAAAAATCAGTTGTTTTAATTGCTTTTTATGTTGTTGTTTTTTAGGCTTTCGTCTGATGTCATTGATAGCGGTTACACGTTGTCTCAGTTATCAAGTCAGTCCTCATATTCTTTTGAGAATGATTTCCTGAAAGACACGGAAAGGAAGTGTATCAGTGATGTTAAGAATTGCAGTGAGGTTACTACTTGCATTACTTATGGAACCATAAAATCGATTGAGAGCAAATATAAATGGTGGTACAAGTCGTGTAATAAATGTTCATATTCTGTTTATGAAGATTTCGAGAGATGGTATTGTAAAAACTGCCAAAAATATTTGATGATTATTATCCAAAGTAAGATTTTATATCTATTTTTGTTGTTGTTATTATTAGATCGTTCATTTTATTTATAAATAACACAATCGGTGGTCATGTGTTGCAGATTTTGTGTGCAGTTGAGAGTTGTGGATCACACTGATTCTGCATCTTTCATTCTGTTTGATAGAGACTGTGTTGCTTTGTTGGACATGAGTGCTGCGGATTTACGTGAGCAGCATTTCAAAAGGGTTTGTGTTCTTATTCCACTCATTTTTTTATTCCACTCATTTTTTTATTCATTTAAAGTTCTTATTAAAATTTCATTAATATTTTTTTTGCAGGGTGATGATTTCGAGCACTATCCTAAGGAACTTAATGTTCTTATTGATAAATTCATGTTGTTTAAAGTGAATGTGAAAAAAAATAATTTGGACTCATACAGTGAGCCTAGGTATCAGATTTCTAAAGTATGTATAAGCGAACCTGTAACCACATCCTTCCTTAAGACTGTTATAGATACGAATGTGAGTTATTTTTTTATTAACATTATTATTTCTATTTAGGTTTTTCTGTTCTCATTCTGCGTTTCAATGGATTTGATTTTTTTCAAAATATTTGTTTTAAATGCAGGATGAAGGATTATTTGACAAGGCTTGCGACAGTGTCGTTGCATCAGCAGAACCGGAAAGAGCTACGGTATCTCGAAATTATTGCTTATGAATTAATCAAAAAAATGTTGCATGCAGTTTTATTGCAAAACATAAGTTAATTTCAAACAATATTTGTTTCTGACAAGGATGTGGAAAGTCAGACGTGTGATAGTGCAGACGTTGGTGATATTTCGCTATCAATGCTTACGCTGTTAATGAATCCTAATGATCCCCTTCAAGACGATTTTAATTCATTAGTTGACTGTCCTCCTAAGAAGATTAAGCTAGAGAAAGAGTTGAGTACTTACCCATTATTTTTTTTCTTTGTGTAGCTTTTTTTATTTATAATCGTGAGTGTGATGTGTCTGTTAATACGTCGTTATTTTTTTGTTTCTGTTTAGATTTGATGCTGTTCTGAAAGACGCGTAGCTGGAACAATGTCACTTGGAAGCTGGAACAACGTCACTTGAAAGTTTTTTGTTTTTTGTTTTGGAGATTGTTTGGGATTGAACAATATAATTATAGTTTTTTATTGCTGTGTTTTGGTAATCACTTCCTCCGTGTTAAACTTCAAATAGGATAGACAAAGTGATGTTTATGCATATTCTGGAATACAAGTTTATCTGTTTGTCATTAGTTATTTTCCACAATATTTTCAATTGAGTTATTGGAATGATAAATATGTGGTTAATCCTGTAATTGGATAATCAGCTGTTTAATAAGTTTCAAAATTCGAAATTTTAATTGTATAATCAGCTGATTTAATTGCTTTTTATGTTGGAATGCGTCATCTGATCTAAAACTCGAAATTTGAAATGGTTTAAAATTTACAATTTAAATATAGATGGTGGGGAAAAAAATTCTTTTAAAAATCGAATTTTTATTTTTTAAATCGAATAATTTAATGACCATTTGTGGTGGCAGACAAGGTATTGAATGTCCCACTGCCCATCACATTGGTATCCAAAAAAAAATCAGCTATTTTAATTGCTTTTTATGTTGAAATTGGTCATCTGATCTAAAATTCGAAATTTGAAATGGTTTAAAATTTTGAATTTAAATATGGATGGTTGGAAAAGAATTTCTTTTAAAAATGAAATTTTAATTTTTAAATCGAATAATTAAATGACCATTTGTGGTGGCACACATAAAAGTATAATTAATTAATAAATATGGTTTTGAAATTCGAAATTTTAATTGGATAATCAGGTGTTTTAATTGCTCTTTTTTTTTTTTTTTTGATAACAGTTTTAATTGCTTTTTATGTTGTAATTGGTTGTCTGATCTGAAATTCGAAATTTGAAATGATTTAAAATTTTTAATTTAAATATGGATGGTGGGAAAAGAATATCTTTTAAAAATCGAATTTTAATCTTTAAATCGAATAATTTAATGACCATTTGTGGTGGCAGTCAAGGCATTTAATGTCCCACTGCCCATCACATTGGTATCCAAAAAGAAAACAGCTGTTTTAATTGCTTTTATGTTGGAATTGGTCATCTCATTTGAAATTTTAAATTTTAAATGGTTTATCAATTAAATTTCGAAACTATGTATTTATTTTGCACAATCTGAAATTCGAAATTTTAAATTCAATAAAAAGAAAACTCTTTTCACGGACATGCATTCACGATCTCTATTCATGGAGATCAATAGAAACAAAAACAAATTTCACAATTGTTGAAGACCTGATTGTCATTCAATTAACAATTTCGTTATGGTTATTTTTTAAATAATATATACACAATAATGATATAACAAAGACATTATCTTTGTTATATATTTGATTCAAATTTCATAACAATCAAGAATTAAGAGAGCTGACAGACAAAATAAATTAGATAATCAGGTGTTTTAATTGCTTTTTATGTTGGAATTGGTCGTCTGATCTGAAATTCGAAATTTGAAATGGTTTAAAATTTTGAATTTAAATATGGATGGTGAGAAAAGAATTTCTTTTAAAAATCGAATTTTAATTTGTAAATTGAATAATTAAATGACCGTTTGTGGTGGCAGATATAAAAGAATAATTAATTAATAAATATGATTTTGAAATTCGAAATTTTAATTGGATAATCAAGTGTTTTAATTGCTTTTTATGTTGGAATTGGTCGTCTGATCTGAAATTCGAAATTTGAAATAGTTTAAAATTTTGAATTTAAATATGGATGGTGGGAAAAGAAATTCTTTTAAAAATCGAATTTTAATCTTTAAATCGAATAATTAAATGACCATTTGTGGTGGCAGACAAGACATTGAATGTCCCACTGCCCATCACATTGGTATCCAAAAAGAAATCAGCTGATTTAATTGCTTTTTATGTTGGAATGCGTCATCTGATCTAAAATTCAAAATTTGAAATGGTTAAAAATTTTGAATTTAAATATGGATGGTGGGAACGTGCTTTCTACTTTCTTTAAAGAACGTTCTATTCTGACTCCTAAATTGTCCGATGTTGCCATGTTAAACAAGCACCTAATGGCTGTGATTCCGGGTGAAGAAAGGACATTATTGAGTTTAGATAAGGTTTTGAAACAAGACGGTAATTCATCTCTTGAGGATGACGAAATCTCCCCTGATATCTTAAATACATTCTCATGTTCGGGGATTCCTGATCATAAATTAACTTTGAAGGTTAAAGTACCGGTGATGCTATTGAGAAATATTGATCAATCAAGAGGTTTATGCAACGATACGATATTACTTATTACAAAGTTGGGGAATCATGTTGTTGAGGTAATTGTTCTTACAGGAAACAATATAGGAGATACTGTGTTAATCCCTAGAATGACGATCAGCCCATCGGGTCATACATTTCAAGTAAACTTCCAAAGAAGACAATTCCCCTTGGTAGTTTCGTTTGCGATGACTATCAACAAAAGTCAAGAACAGTCGCTATCTCATGTTGGCATTTATCTTCCTAGGTCTGTCTTCACTCATGGGCAATTATATGTGGCACTATCTAGAGTAAAGAGCAGACATGGATTGAAGATGCTGATACTTGATGAAAATGGTTGCGTTACAAATACTACCTTTAACATCGTCTACAAGGAAGTATTTCAAAGATTAGTGTAGGATACTTGGTTATTTCTACAAAGAGATAACATTGTTGTTTGGTATCAGGTAAGATCTCAATTTTTTATTAGAAAATATTTTTTAATCTTCTTTGTTGATTTCCTTTAGTTGTTATGCCTATTTTTATGCTAATTTTTTATTGTTATGCAGATTCAGTATTCGAGGCACAATCAGTATATTATTCCCTTGTCATTTTTCAGAGTCAAAGATTTTTCATTGTAATTTTGAATTATTCATCTGCCTAAACTATATAATTCCCTTCAATAATTTTTTCTTTTCCAAATATTGTTTATATATTGTTTATGATTCATTTCGAACAGCAGCAAATACCAATAGTGCATGGCGGACGATGGTTTACAACTGTTGTGAGTATCGGTTGGGCATATTTCTAATTATATTGCAGTCAACATGACATTTATATTTTTTTAATGGAGATTTTGCTGTCAACCATGGAATTTAATGTGTTTAAATTATTATATATTTTTTTTGTTCCTACCTTAAAAGTTACACGTTTATGTCATACGAACAAATCGATTTTCTTATTAATTCGTTTACGGGACAAACAAACCGATTTTTTTTCTCCGTGCATCGCATGGGTAATCAACTAGTATATATATATGGGAAGGATCCGTTTACAAACTTTTTTGAAGTATGACCGGCTATACTTAATCTAGTTTGTAAGAGTTTGTAAACAAAAAGTTTGTAAATATAACATTTCTCATATATATATATATATATATGGGAAATATAAGAATCATGTTGCAGGAATGGCATTGTTTATTCCTGCAACAAGGATCTGCTTCCGTATCTTAAGGATACGGCGTCGTATCCTGATTTTGGTTTGACTTTTTTTTTAAGCGTGGGACCCACACTTGATTTGTGTGTGCAGGAAAGTGCTCTAGTAATGTCACATGACAAAAAGCGAACTATATATATATATATATATATATATATTGAAGAGATTCATGGAAATTTGGTATATTTTTAACAAGACGTTACACACATATTTAATATAATTAAATGAAGTGTTTATAGAAGGCCGTGTCTATCTAATAATTGAGAATATTTCAAGTGTTATCGTAGTACTGAATTTTCAATATTGTTGCAGCGTAAATTATGACATGTGTATTATTTGTCCACGTCATTTAGCTCAGGTGGCATTCTTCCCTTTCCATGTACTCTTATTCTATGAGCTTCTCTTTCGAATTCTCACGCTCCAAGACAATTCAATCAGCGGATCTATGTGGTTTATGCCCAACCTCATCACTCCACCTTTTTTCATTGCCTCAGAATCACACACCACCATGAAACCCTTGCGCTATTCCAAGGCAACAATAAAAGATATTCAGCAATGAGATTGGACGTAAGCTATATAGATCAGGAAACTGAGTTGTTTTGGGGCGTGGGAGTTGAGAAGAGAGACTCACATGCATGGTAAGATTACATGGAGAGGGAGAGAATGCCATGCGAACTAAATGACATGGACAAATAATATATGCGTAATAATTTAAGTTGCAGTAGCACTGAAAACTTAATACTAATGTAGCACTTCAAATATTCTCTCAAAACTCAAAAAGTCGCTCTTAAACTTAAATAAGAAGTTTATATTTACAAATTTTTTGTTAACAAATTTTTACAAATTACACTAAGTATGATCGGTCATACTTCAATCAAGAGTGTATGACCGGTCATATTTAATATAATTTGTAAAATTTTTTTATAAATGGATCATTTCTTAAATAACATTGCTATTGAATCTTGATATCAGGAATCGAAAAATATACTTTTAAGTAGTCATTATTATCAGGCATAAGTCCAGTAAATAAGATGTATGTTTCAAGTTACCTTGAAAGAAGAATTTCAACGTACGCATACATACATTAATAACGGGGGTTTGGTTCATAATGGACCCTTGCGAAGCCACTAAGTAGGAAAGAGTGATGATATTGCTACCATAATTCATAAATGACGAAATTCCATACTCTTCGGTGCAATTGTGAAAGTCTCACTTACTGCAATTAGTAAATTTACGTTTAATTTAAGAGTTTTGCATCTATCATTTAACATGACCACAACAATTTTTCTACACACATAATATTTTGTGGGACCCGTAATTTTTGAAACCAAAAAAAAAAAAAAACTCCCGCACGCAAAACGAATCTCTATAACATAACACAATCATTTTTCCTACAACATAACTCTTATAAAACCCTTAATTTAATTATTCTGGTTTAGGACACTTTTAGTTGAATTTCCTTGACTTCATATAGCGCTTTTATTTTTAATGAATTTTTTTGTCATTAAAGTACCATCATTTTGTTTTTCTATGATTTCTAATGAATGTGATAGAGTTGCTGCAAAACTAGCCAAAAATGAACAGCTGTAGGTTAAATTTGAACATAAAATATTACAGTATTTGCCAAAAATTGCTTGAGAACAGATAAAACGAAAAAGGAAAAATATATGATGACTGATGGCTTTTATTGGTGGTATTTCCATTTAATTGACACTGTCATTAACGGTTTATTAAAATAATATTAACATATATTAATTATTAATAAATGATCACACCAAATAAATTTGTATTTGACTTTTGATTTAAAAAAGTCACTATTTAGGAAACTACGGTCATATTTCATAAAATAAAACTGAAGCTATGAATAATATAAAAGATTTAGAAGATCATGGCGGCTAATGATACGCGTTGTTGCAACGTTACGTCCCTGATGTTGAAACATTAAGTTCCGGCTGGCGTTTCATTTGAGCGAAAAAATTTGGTATTGTCAATTTCATTAGCATTCATTGGTGGCAACAAACATCTCTCTTAAAAATATCGTAAATTCTTGTACCAAAAGAAAAGAAAAAAAAAATATTCAATAAAAAATCGTTGACCCTCTCAAGCATTTCATAAACTTGGATGTGTGTGTATCTTTATATCACCACCCCCCTAATACATCGGAATTAAGTTAGTATTATATTGCCTGCCCAATTGCCATATCTCTCTATCTAAATTTCGATTTATTGCAACAAAAGCGGGAATTGGGAGTGGCAGTTAAAATTGGGGGCCGCGTAGAAAGGAAAAACAGATGAGGTGTTTGAAACTTGAAAGATTATGAAAGACTGTGAAAGACAGTGACTAGTGAGATAAAGGGTAAATAGTTATTTAGCCAACCTAACAATGCAATTAAACAAGCGAAAACTGAGAATTAGGAACTACAAAGCCAATAACTAATAACCCAGTAATGCCAGGCAGTGCCGGCTCACTTTTTAGGTTAGGTGATAATTGCTAAGTACCCTAGACTTGATTAATTTAGTTCCTTCCTCAATATATATTATGAATATCCTATTCCTGTTAGGAATGTCCTCCTAACACAAAAGCGACGCACATTAGAAACTTTTATTATGGTTAATTAATATAGGATAGGATATTGTGACACACAAATAATGTTACGCATAATGTTACGATCACATCTTAACCGTTGATTTTCGCCAATCAACGGTTATTATTTTTCAAATCAAACTCATTAATTAATTATTAATTCGCAATAAATGATAACCATTGATTGACGGAAATCAACGGTTAAGATGTGATCGTAACATTGTGCGATCCTATCCGAATTAATATTATTAAAGTCTTAATTAAGACCCCAAATCCAAAAGCAAAAGTGGGCACGCTCACACACACACACACAACAGTAACAATAAGTAGAGAGAGCGACGAAGCCATACTCCTGATCTATCTCTGAGTGTGTGAGACGGATTCCGCTGCATTCATGTGCTTTTTGAGTTGTGTGTGTCAGCAGCAGGACTCAGCATTAACCTTCCTCACTCACTGTTAGATCCAATCTCTCTCTACCTCAATTCAACCCTAAGTCCACTCATTCCTCTCTTCTCTCTTCCGATTCCAATTCTTTTCCGTTCCTTTCTTTCGCAGGTACTCTCTTCGCCTCTTCTTTTTTCTTCTGTTTTCACAATTGATGCACATCTGTCTTCTCACAAATTCGCTTTACATGGAATCCGAATTTTCGAATTTTCCACTTTTTTTTTTGTTTCTTTATGTCATTGTTCACCTAACTCTACTTTTTTTTTTCTTAATTAAAAAAATAATTCTCTGCTCCAAATCTTTCTTTGGTGTTGTTTCTGTGCATTGATTTGATTTGATTTGACCTCCGACTTACCTTCAATGGAACTGAAGATGAGCTTGTATACTAGGATTTGAAAAAAAAAAATTTAATATATAATATTGATTTTTGTTTAATTGTTTATGAATCAGGTTTCTGGCAATTTGAGAATGGAAATTGCTTGGAAACGGAATTGATGATGATAATGGAGGATATATCTAAATACGCACACAGTCCTGCACACGTGGCAGTTGCGAGGCGTGACCACGCTGCACTGCGGCATCTCATTTCGACCATACCTCGGCTTGCGAAAGCTGGTGAGGTTAACACAGAATCTGAATCTATTGCAGCTGAGCTTCGAGCCGATGAGGTGTCGGCGGTTATTGATCGGCGCGATGTTCCTGGTAGGGAGACACCTCTTCACCTCGCGGTGCGTCTCGGGGATCAGGTCTCTGTTGAGATTTTGATGGCTGCTGGTGCGGATTGGAGTCTGCAGAACGAGCATGGTTGGAGTGCTCTACAAGAAGCCGTGTGTACAAGAGAGGAAGCAATTGCTTTGATTATTGCACGGCACTATCAGCCTCTGGCTTGGGCTAAATGGTGCCGTAGAGTTCCCCGCATTGTTGCTTCCGCTGCTCGTATTCGTGATTTCTACATGGAAATATCTTTCCATTTTGAGAGCTCTGTTATTCCTTTTATTGGCCGAATTGCCCCTTCGGATACTTACCGCATTTGGAAGCGCGGTTCTAATCTCCGTGCTGATATGACACTGTCTGGTTTTGATGGCTTCCGTATACAAAGGTCAGACCAAACCTTTTTGTTCCTTGGGGAGGGGTATGTTTCAGAGGATGGTAATTTGACTCTGCCTCCGGGTTCTTTGCTTGCTCTTGCTCATAAGGATAAGGAAATCACCAATGCTTTGGAAGGAGCTAGTACACAACCTACGGATGCCGAGGTTGCTCATGAAGTTTCTTTGATGTCTCAGACAAATATGTATAGACCTGGTATTGATGTTACTCAGGCTGAGCTTGTTCCCCATTTGAATTGGAGGCGTCAAGAGAAGACTGAGGCGGTCGGGCATTGGAAAGCAAAAGTTTATGACATGCTCAATGTGATGGTGAGTGTGAAGTCAAGGCGGGTTCCAGGTGCCATGACGGATGAAGAGCTTTTTGCTGTGGATGATGGTGAAAGTATGATGAATGGAGAAAACAATGATGATGTGTTGACTGCTGAGGAAAGAATGCAATTGGATTCTGCGCTGCGTATGGGGAAATCTGGTGGTATTTGTCAGGATGAGGAACATGGAGGCGACTTTGATGGTCATGAAAATGGCTCAGCAGCTTCCTATGAGAATTGTGAAGCTAATGGTGTGGTCAAAGAGAAGAAGGGCTGGTTTGGTTGGAACAAGAAAAACTTGAAGAGCGGCAGTGACGAACCTGAGGATTCAAAAACTATGAAGAAATGTTCGATGTTGGGCCCAGAAGGTGGCAACCAGAGATCAGGTGATCAGCAAAAGTCACAATCTGAGTTTCTGAAGGAGGATCCAGGAGAAGTGAAGAAGGGAAAGGATAAAAACAGTAAAAAGAAAAAGAAGAAAGGAGCAGTTACCGAGTCTAAGAATGAGGGTGAGTACAAAAAGGGTTTAAGACCTGTCCTGTGGTTGACACCAAACTTCCCTTTGAAAACAGATGAGCTTCTGCCTCTACTCGACATCTTAGCAAACAAGGTTAAGGCTATTAGGAGACTCAGAGAACTTTTGACAACTAAACTTCCTCATGGAACCTTTCCTGTCAAGGTAACACAAATACCATCATAACCTTCAGTACTTAAATTTTTATGCTCTGTTGCTTTGCACTCTTGTGGTTACAATGTGCTCATATTACCTGTATCTTCTTTTCTTATAAGCCTAGTTACATATGATATTATTCATATCCTTTTTTCATACATAAGACTGGATGTAAGTCCTCTTTTTTTCTGTCTATGTCAAGGTTATGAAGATTTTGAGTAAACCCCTATTTTTGTCCCACAGAGATCCAAACATCATCACTTTGGTCATCCAGAGTTTTTCAGTAATTTAGTCCCTCAATAGTGCAAAGTGTCATCACTTTTGTCTTCTTGCGACAATTTAATCCCTTAATAATGCAAAGTGTCATCAATTTTGTCCTGCAATCATGCGAATGTCATCAAATTAGTCCCTAAATTAGGGTTCCGTTACGCTCATTTCTCTTAAGTTTTTTAATAGTTGCAGTTTGTCTAAACATTCTGTTAGCATTCCCCTAATTAGAAAATTATATGTTAGAATAGAAGAAACAATGATGGGCCCAAACAAGTGGGTCAGTCTCTGTTAGTTAGGCCTTGTTAGTTAAAGTTGTGAGATAGTTAGTTAGCCCTCTATCTGCAGTAGCAGAGGTAGGATATAAATAGAGAAAGAGAATGTAATTAGTTAGTTAATTGATGAGTTGTGCAGTGAGGGACAGGGTTCTCGACCACCATTGTTTTGTTCAGCCATTTATGTGACAACCAGAGCTCTGATACCAAATAATGTTGAAGTAGTAACCCATTGGCTAAACAGAAAGAAAGACTGAAAAAACAAGGATTGCGAGAAAATACTATTTCTCTTTTCTGAATTTTATTAACCAAAAACAACCAAATAATAATAGGGTTCTTCAAGCCTTAAATAGACAAAACAAAATAAATGAAAATAAAATCAAACATAATCAAAATGAATCATGTGCAATCAAAGGAGATAACACACAATCAACACACATTCAAACATAATCTAAGAAATAACAAAAAGATAACTAACTAACAATTATTGAAAAGCCCTAAACTATGGAAATGCCCAAAACTATTGATACTCATGGCAAAGCGACGAGTCTTGCTCAGAAGCCAATTTCGAGTTACTTATCCAAATTTGAGCTCAATCCAAGTCAGTCAGCTCGAGTGCATCATTGCCTTTCATTGCAATTCTTCTACCAGTCTCTTACTTCTGGGTTTGATTCAGATCCTTAGGGAAGAGGTTACATCAATAAGCTTTCATTCTTTTCTTGAATTTTCTTTCAATCTCGAATCAGTTTCTATCGCATTCTTCCTCCTTCTTGCAAGTTCATTTTTTCTTATTTTTGGGTTTGGGGACCGGGTTTTCTTTTATTTTGCACGAGTGACAGATTCTTTTTCTAATGTTAAAATTGGATGCAAGAGCAATTCTTTGATTTCCACTCGTCTGGGTACAAATGTTGATGGTTAATTGTGGCTTATAGAAATTGACGAATAAAATGATCATCCTCTGGAGATATATAATTATGATTCTATTGTCAAATATGTGACTTGAACTTCATAGCATCATTAGTTAAGATATTTATGATTATTTTTTCTTTGGATCTTTGTCCTAATTGAACACTTGCATTGAAGTTGTGTTAAAAGAATGAGAAGTGTCCCAAGCCCCTGGCTTATACTCAGCATTCTTTAGGCTGACACATGTATGAAGATATATAGTTCTTCATCATTTATGCAGAACTATATTTTGCAAAGCAAATACCACATTGTTTCTTTTCTATTATTGGTTCCAGATTTTGCTTCTAGATATGAAAACGCTAGCACTTCAAGAGTGGAGTCATGTTGGCGTTCTAAATGTAAAGGACATCAACACTCAGAACGACACTTCTAAGTACAATGCTTCTACTTACATTACTGGAATGAGAACTACTGAAATCGGTTGTCTTATCCTTTTTTAACATCTTTGAGAAATGTTTAAACATGTTAGATGTATAAAAAAGGGAAAACCCGGTGCACAAGGCTCTCCAACTTGCGATGATAGGGGTAAAGGTCGATTGTAGATAGTCTTATCCTTACACTTTTGCAGAGAAGCGGTTTCCCAGACTAAGGAGCAACCTTACCATTACTCTAAGGCTTGCCCTCTAGAGATGTCAGATGTAAATTGGATATATTTTCATATGTTGGTTAATATTTCATGCATTTCATTTGTATTACATATTATTATGCATATCTATTTCCTGCTGTGCTCTTATGAAATGCTGTTGTGTCGCTGTTCCTATGTTGCAGCATACTTTACATCCATGCATGTGTTTCATAGGCCTTTGGTTATGCTACTGCTATGCAGGTAGCTATCCCTATAGTCCCTACTATACGGGTCCTTGTGACTTTTACCAAATTTGAGGAGCTTCAGCCAGCAGAGGAGTTTTCAACTCCACTTTCCAGCCCTGCATACTTCCAGGATGCCAAATCCAAGGATTCAGAAGGGTCTGCATGGATTTCATGGATGAAAGGAAGTCGTGGCACACACTGCAGCAACTCTGATAGTCACAGATATAAGGATGAAGTCGATCCTTTCAATATACCTTCAGACTACAAATGGGTGGATGCCAATGAGAGGAAACGACGTATGAAGTCTAAGAGAGCCAAAAGTAGGAAACATAAGAAGCAGACTATTGCAGAAGGAGGAGATGGAGTACATCCGGGAAGTGAGGATTTGGAAGACTTCTAATACCATGGAATCTCTGTAATTGCTGCTTGATAATCGTATAATCGTTCCCAACAGGAAAGTGTAAGTCTTTGTGCACAAGCTGCGCACAGCTGACTTTTCTTTTCACATTGGATGATGTCGCCAAGAATTTATTGGAAACTCTTTGGGCGATCCTTACTCTTTAAGGGTGCCTCTATGTTTTTCCCCATTTGCGACATTGGATTAAGAAGAGAGCTTTCATTATCTGGAAATTATTGTATTGTCATGTGAAGTGAAATTGAAGAGAAAGAGTCTATATCGCCTTCAATTGCTTGGCTTCGTTCTAATTTCCCCAAGATACCAATATTTGTATCTACATGACTGCATCTATATCGATGATTATGATTTTGCATTTTTTGTGAGTGGTATTTCAGTTTTCACTTTTCGTTCATAAGTTTTGGCTATTCTTTGGGACTGACTTATGGCCTAGGAAAATTTGTTGAAATTTGTACCTGAAATATTAAATTACAAGAACCTCTTTTTTCACTTTGATAGTTTGGATCTTCTTTATTTCCTTTTCTTTTCAAAGAAGTGGATTATCCAAAATTCCTTACAGACATTTTGTAGTCCCTTATCTAAAGAAAAACATTGTGAACTCTTAAATTTTAATGTACGTGTATGTCTACTACTCAGCTGATAAAATTGAGAGGCTTGATTAATGGATAAAATTTAAGTTTTTTAGGCGTTTGAATGGTTGTTTTTCAATAAAAATTTGACGCGTGTATTATTTTTTAGTCATCTAATTCTCCTTTTTCATAGTTTTCATTGTTGAAATAAAAATAAAAAATAAAAAATACACGTTATGTTTTTATGAAAACATAACCCTCTAAATACCTGAGGAATTTTACCCGTTCTTTTCTTAATCCCCACCCATTAGGAAAGATACTCAATTCCAATTATCTATAGAAAAGATATGGATATGAAAATAAAAAATACTCGGATATATAATGATTTCAGGTCAAGTTTTTGATTAAATTCGATAGTATAGCATGCAATATTTTAAAATTTTGGGAGTTGTCATGCATAAAAAAATATGTAATTAATATATTTGGTGTTAGACATAGTAGGAATTTCAAAAATTTCGGATGGAATAAGGTATGTATTAGTTATAGAATTTGGATAATTTGAATGTAGCTCAAGCTTAAATCACTTAGAACACACGCCCACTGTTATCCTTAACAGCGAAATTTGAAGATGGAATAATTCCTACCTAAAGCCTTTGATGAATTACAAAGGAACTCCCCATGAAATAGAACAAAAGGAACCAGGCAAAAAAATAATGGACTCGAAGAACAAGGTCCGAGTATTTTGATTCTATCATCACTCTTTGAATTAGAGATTGTGCTGTTTTATTTTTGGGGGTTTTGGAATATGTACAATAATTATACATACAAAGAATCATGTTACTATCGTAGTTACCAATGATCTAATTTACAGACATGACATGATGACCCTACCAAAATCTGTCCTTGTTGACACTCAAGTACCCAGCCATTACCTTTCCCCCAGTATTTCTCATTCCATCTATAAGGAAGGACCAAGTAGAACCCAATGCCCCAACAAAGAAATCAGAATCAGCAGCCATCAAGAAATTAACTAGTGGATAATTTGTGCTTGTCTCCCTACCCAGGCTGGCTTCATATTCTGCCATTGACATATTAGTCCTAACTTGACGCCTTACCATTGTATAGTAAAAGTTCCAGTGAGAATATTCTCTGGTTTTGTTGATCACTTCCTGAATCAAATTAGAATCTTAATAAAGCTATCATCTAAAAGATGACTAAAAAATAATTAGCAATAAGAAAGCTGAAACTAAAGGGGGCGAACCGGAGCTAAAGCTGTTCTTTCATGACTAAAAGGTCATGAGATTCGAATCCAGGAAACGGCCTCTTTGCAATTATGCAAGAGTAAGGCTGCGTACAAGGATTATCTCCACCCCACACTCGCTAGTCGGGTTTAACGAGGAGTGATTTTTATTTTTTTTAAGAAAGCTAAAACTAAGACAACATATGCAGTACCTGCATCTCAGTGGACAGCCAAATGCTATTAAGGTTTGGGAAGTGCTTCCTGGTTCGATCAGCAAGCTTCATGTATTCTTCAAATTCAGCCACCTTCATTTCACATGCTTTGTCTCCCATCCTTACATGCATGCTTAGTAGAGGCCTAGGGACCCATGGCTTGTGATTGGACCACACATATTCATCAATATCAGACCTTGGCTTGTCACTACTTTCCTGAAGCAAAGGAGCAAAAGAATTTTTTTTCTTTTTTTTTTCATGAATCCAAGTTCAAGACCAACTTTAATGACAAAGGTTTTTAAATATATTTTTGATACTTATAAGTTGCTTATAACCCTAAATCTCTAATAGATATTGTTATAAAATCTACATATGGAGAGTATAAAACTAAAAAGGAATGTGTCTAAATATATAAAGGAATTAAAATTAAAACTTCTTTTTGTATAAGGACCAAATTAAAAATGAGTATATTGTATAGGGACAAAAATACATTTTAACCTAACGAAAATCTAATACTACTGTTGCATTTATCAAACCATCCAAGCAAACTATCTTGAGGGGAAAATTAGGTAGATTTTTTAATAGGACCAATTTTCACTCTTCCCATTAGTGGTTAGATGCAAAGCATGGCTAGAATACACGTCTACTCTTAATTCTCTAATGTCCAATAAGAATAATAGAGGAAAGTTAACAACTACCTTGGGCCAGTCTCCAGCAAGACTTTCAAGAACCATTTTTGCAGCTAGTTTTCCAAAGGCAGCATGGCGGGCCTCATTCATTAAATTGCATGTGTATTCAGTTGGGAACCTCATTAAGTAGCGTACAGCCTGAAAACAATATTTATGGCAACAACATTAAATCATGAACTATTTCTAAAATGATGTCATAACTCTTTTTTTGGCAAGTCCAATAAGTACCTGTGCTCTCCACCACCGTCTATCCATTTTTCTATGAGATGTCACCAGACTCCCATTTATATCAGTTGTAGGTTGCAAATAATTCCATGGAAGCCCCCATTTCCTTCAGTATATATTGACATTGGAAGAATAAAACTTCTATACCTTTAGGTTCTTATTATGGAAGCAATCATAAATATCTGTTTGCAATTGTGAGAGGTTACCTAGGAGTTGTTCCAGCCCATATATGCCTGGATGTATAATTTTCTTTTGTGGTCAGAATTCCTTTACTCCTTGCCTCTTCACTTTTCATAAGTTCAAATGCACGCTGACGGCATTCTAGGGATGTTTCTGGAAAGAAGTAACAACTCCAACTAGACCGGGAAGACCCTGCATAAAGAAGAGTTCCCACTTGTAGCATCATCATCATCAGATTCATAAAGAACCACTTCAACCCAAAACTTTAAGGTGTTGGGTGAGGGCCTTTCTAATGATCTCTATTATTCTCTAATACACCTCCTCATACAAGAGCCCCTTGGGCTTGAAGTGTGGATATTGCACAGACCCAATTTTTGGTTTATCTTTTTGTGCTTTTTTTTTTATTTAATTCCACAAGTGGGGGCGGTGAGGATCGAACTCGTGACCTCATGGTCACTGAAGCTCTGATACCATGTAAAGAACCAATTCAACCCAAAAGCTTAAGCTGTTGGGTGAGGCTACATTAATGGTTTTATATATCTCAACAGTAACATTAGTTTTCATAATGTTTGAAGGTTATTCTTATTGAGAACAGATGTTCACATTGTACATAAGTTGTTAAAAAACTGAATTCAACACAGATTCACAGTAAGTAATGAATGATTTTTCTCACAGAAGTTATACCTTTGCAACCGTCATGATCAGCCCTGTTATAATAGTTAGTGACAAGGACTCTTTCTTCGCTGATTGCAATAGCAAGAAGTCCACACATCCCAGCAATCTGAGCCCCAATACCAAATCCAGATAATCTCTCCCAATCAACAACAAGGAACTTGACATCCGGGTTGCTACAGTCTAAAGGATGCTGATGGATCCATATGTCACGCTGCACTTTTCTAGTCAAGGGATAGTTCTCTTCATCAGATCCTGCAATCTGCAAACGTTTCTATATAAAAACCAGCCAATAATTGCAATATTCCACCTTTTTTTTTAAACATGAACATTGTAAATGTCATTTTTATGTTCTACTGAAGATCATAAATTTTCCTTAAGCATCTATAAGCTGTTCTTTCCGTTAATAATTATATCGTAAATGTTGGAATAATGCATTCAAACAAAAAAGGGTTTAGTTTTTAACCAGGGAAAATCTAGTGAAGAGAATACTACTTTAATTAGCTTCCCTCAGAAAAAGATATGGATTTAAGAAACAAAAAACTACAAAAAACTATAATGGGTTATGAAAAGGTGATTGTTATGGAAACTAAAGTCACTTTACTAGCATATTTGGAGGTAACAATAAATCAATTATTGGTACCACCTAAACAATTCATGTTTGTTAGTTAAATAATAATTCATGGTGAGTCAAAATAGGGAAGAAGTAATTAAGAACACACCCAGGGTGGATAAGCCCCCTCAGTTACAGCCTGCTGCCTAAAATTTTTGATCTCCTCATTGGATGCAGCAACAGGGAGCTTCTGTAAAAAACCCTTCCAAATTGTCCATGGAGGGAAGCTCTCATTTCCTGTACGCTTATCAAGATGGCCATATAGCTGTGTTTTCACCTTGCAGTTTTCAAAATGCGGGGCATTAGGCAAACCTGACCCGTTGATGCCATGTTCTTGCAAGTACTCATTTGCCCCAGTTGTAGATTTATTTAACACAGCACTCCAAGCTGAATAAAGCAATGAGACTTTGTCACTATTATCTTGCTCTCTACTGCTCTTCAAATCCCATAATCTCTTAGTTTCCTTAAGCTTCAAATTGCAGTCCGTACGTGTAACCATACCTAAGAAAACAAAAGAAAACACGTTCCATCATTAATTTAATTTAATCCACCCATAATAACCAGATTGATTACTGCGTTACTAAATATCATTGTGATCAGTTCTACGTGCATCGTTGTACTATAAAATATTTAGTGACTACAAGATTGTAATAATGTAATACTAATTATGCAAAACAATGTGTTTACTCTCTCTTTCTCCCTAATACTATCCTCTGGCAAATGCAGTCAAAGTCAAAAAGAATGATCATAAGAGTGTGCTTAACGTAAAGCAAGTAATTAAAGTATCATTCAAGTTGCTTCATGCACAAGCTTAACTCGTTCTCATCAAGTTTACTTCATGGATAAACGTCCTAGAATACACCAAGACTTTGAAAAAAAAGATAGTAGGAACTCATGATAAACTCTGATTCTTTTTCTTCAAGAAAAGAAAGGGGAGATAAAATTGGTTCTTGAAATGGCCATGTTCCATCAATGAAATAAAAGTCAAATGGTAAAAGAGGCAGAAGCACCTTGAATCCAGAACCCCATTTCCTAATAGAAAATAGAAATAAAAGAATAAATATGAAATGGTTGAAACAAAGGACGAGGAAATTGACTCACCGATATTATGATGAGAAGTTGAATTCCCTGATGAATTAGCCATTGACATGGTTGAAAATGAAATAGGACCAAACTGAAAGGTGCCAAAGGAAGTCAAAGCAGCCAAGAACAAAGAGGTGAGGCAGACTCCACATAGAAATCCCACCACACAAATTTGACATGGAAATGAACTACCCATTTGCAGTGCTCTCTGCGAAACCACTCTCTCAATAGACTTATGATTCAGCGTCTCCATTTTCACTTTTATCTTACAACAAACACTTGATTCTTTATTCAAAAAGCTTCTTGAATGACCCTTTTCCTCATGGACTAGTAGCCTATTACAAACTCGTGACTGATCCACAGTTACACAGATTCAACTTGTGAGTCCTCAAACTACTCTTTGGACAGAGAAACCTCAAATATCACACAATTATTTGCACCTGTCCCCTTAAACACTTTGGTGGGCCATCCCTGTCATCCTTGCAACTGTAAAATTAATGATAAGTTTCCATCAGAATTTATCAAAGCTACACTCAAACAGAGAAAGTGAGTTAGAAAAGGACACAGGGACATAAAAAGAAATCTGAATACCAGCAAGAAAATGCGTTATAAATATTTTGCATTAAATTGGTAAAACCTACAATTCACATGTTTTCTTGACAATTGAACAATTATCATATCACACTAATATTAATACTAAAATAGCAACAAAAAAGAAAAAAGAAAGAGATACAATGATGGGGTAGTCATTTAAGTTTGGAAGCAGAGGAAGGTCTAACCTTTCCTAATCATTTGAAGCTAATCACAAAAAAGAAAAAAGAAAAAAAGACTAAAATTAAAAATCTTGAAAACTGTTATGAAAAGAATAAAGCCTTGTCAAGGAAGGAAAGGGTAGCCATGACCTTGATGACTGGTTATGAAAAGACTAGCAACTGCAAGGTGGAAGAGAAAAGCATCACCAAAAAGACACAACACACATGCGAGGAAAAAGACAAAAGTTATAATAAGTGAAGAAGAAGATAAGAATATGTGGAAACAGCTTTACCAGAACCTCTCAAAAACAGTAACACATTTTTTTATCTGACCTTATATAATATATTAATATAATACTATACATTATAATTAGAAATGATAAATAAATTTGAAAAAGGGTATAAAAGGATAGGACATTTTGCCCGGCAAAACACACAAAGAAAGGAACGACACAGGTTAAGTACCTTTGTGCTAAGGAACAGAACAAAACAACTTGAGAAACGTGAAGGGGTTGCAGTGAATATAACTGTGGTGGTGGCTACCAATTGAGAAGATGATCATCTGGTGCAGTTGCCACATATATATATTCTCTTTATCTGTGGTCCCCTCTTTATATATATGTCTATCTGTCATTGAACAAAAATCCGAGCTCAATTATGTTTCTTTTATTTCAAGTTGAAATTTTCAATTTTCAATTTTCAATTTTCAGTTTTCACTGCCGAAAAGAAAGGAATCAGTCCACTTGTTGTGACTTGAATATTGTTATTTGTGATCATTAATATGGAGAAAGAACAAGCCATAAACTTTCCAACCCATACCATGCTTGCTTTCTTTGTTAATTTAAATAAACAAATACACTTCAGAGAATACCATATTATTAGTAGTAATGTCAACAGAGAAAAATTTGTGAGAAAAAAAAAATTAAAATTCCATGATGAGTTGTCTGTGCCTATCCATCAACATTTTTTTAGAGTAAAGTTAAAGGGCTTACTCTACCATCATTTATCCATTATCTTTTTTAATCATTTGTTTTTTATGGTATTTTTTTTCTTTCAAATTCACCTAAATACGATGAAAGAATTGTATAAGTTATCTATTTTAATCATATGAATGATAAGTAAATTATTTTATCGTTTAACTACATGTGTGTTTTTTTTTTAATCACTTACTTTCCTTTTGTTTCTTTTATATTCATAAATAGATTACTTTAGGGAAGAGTTGAAATACTTAAAAAAAGTCTGAAATAGAAAGATTCCACAAACACTTGTGTCAGCAATCCCACAAATTCTCTAAAATAAATCTTCTTTATAAATGATGAAATCGAAGGAGTAAAGAAAGACTTTCACGCTTGGTTTAGTAGTTATAACTTATAATATTCTTTGATTTCACCAATAATTATATTATTCACAACATCTGTATATTGATTTGAAATCCCAACAGCTACTACCTTCATTGAGGTTTTTAAATGAATACTTGAAGAATTGGACTTACTGCGATACACCACATTGACATGAGCTTTTTTATCTTATCAAAAGATCAGCATTGTAAGGAACTGTATTCATTTGTACTCTTTTTACTAATGGTGATGATTCACGTATTTTTTATTCTTGATTCACGAATTTTTAACTATTTTGGAATCATTTCATCTAGCTTCATCTTGATAACTTATTCTTTGAAATTGTTAAACGGGAATATCTACTTCTCCGTAGTCTCGTTTTAAGCCATGTTGATTTAATTAAAAAATGAAATAGTATAACGCACATTTTATAAATTTAAAAATAATTTTTTATATTACAAAAGATAAAATTATATCATATACGTATATAAATATACGTAAAAAAAATCTTCTATTCATATAATCTCACATAAATACAGGGGATTAATTTTTTCATTTTACATTATAAATTTTTTTCATGCTACATCCTCAATATATAAGTGGAATCTACAAAAAAGTGAAAAGATAAAATATAAAAATGAGACCTACCTTTTAATTATGGAAAAAATATTTCTGCAGTTAATGCAGATAAGTTATCTGCTATTTCTAAAACGACGTCGTTTTGATATTGAAATCTTAAAAAATTATAAATATAAAGACTATTGTAACCCTGAAATAAATTAAAATTTCAAAAATACCATAATTTCAGTTCCAAAACGATGTTATATTGAACTTACTGCAAATAATTTATTTGCAAGAACGAATATTTTAATTATATATATAACACGAGAATCTTGGGTAAAATAAGAAAAGACTAATTCATAATTATATATACTTTTTATATAGGCTAGAAGATAAATCTATCTATCAACAGAATCGTTAAACCCGAAAAATGATGCCACCTAAAAGTAGAAAGCAGAAACACTCTTCCCTAAGCAGGTAGTAAGGCAAAGCTTTGAACAACAATCCAAATCCATTGATGGGAGGGCATGTCAATGTTAAGCATACTCTCATTTGCGGCGAGTGAGCAACTCGTGTCAAATAATTGCCATTGTGTTAGACACGTGGGCTAAGGATAAAGTGGTGTAATGTAAGAGAAACGGAGAGAGGTGAGTGTGGTGTGGTGTTTAGAAATAATAATTATTGGTTGGAGGGTTTGGTCTTTTCTTATTGGGAAATGGAATGTCAATGGAGTTGGAGATTAGAGATGCGAAAGTTGTTGTAATTTATTTGCTGAATTGGTGGATAAGCAAATGGATATCCCTTTTACGGTAATATTTTTTATGCTCTACGACTACTTAATAATTCGATGCTCTTTCTCGTAACATCAATTTTTTCTTTTTTTTTTACTCTTGTTAATTTTTCTCTTTTTTATTTTTATCTTTACATTTACATTAAGGGATCACCTAAAAAATGATGATTCCGGATCACAGTAAATAATCCCTCCTTTTAGATCTTCGTACATTGTTTACTGTTACCTACGTGACTTCTTTTGTTGAAGTTAAATTTTAAATTTTAATATCTTTATTAGATAAAATCATAAATAATATTAACAGAAAAATAATTTTATTATTTTTTTCAAAAAATAATTAGAAACATTAAAAATAATTATTCTAAAATAGGGAAAACAAGTACTAACCGAGTTCGCAGTGAATCAAGAGGTCATAATCTTTCGGATCACCGTTTTTAATTATTTTTTTCCTAATCAGTCATAGTTAATGAAAGGCTATTTTTTTAGGTGAGGGAAATGCTTAGTGGAAATTGGTATCTGGTTAAGACATGTTACAAAAGGTGTGATGATGACCCAGAGTGATAATAACATTAATAAATGATCATTAATAACTAAAATTAAAACCTTTTGTCAACGATGTAGTGTATGAGAATTTAATGCTATCTACGCCTCACATAATAATAAATAGAGCGATATTATTTACAAATAATGTGTAATTCACATATAAATTGGATGACGTAAAGTATGTGAGTTATGGAAGAATAATGTTATATACAACTTATATTTTTTAAAAACACTTTTATTTAACAGTTAATACCAATGCTAAGCACCCCTCACATAATATAATTACAACGTTAATAGATATACAATCGTCACAATGATTGTTAAAATCTCAATTTATTATTGTGATTTTACATTTTTATGAATTTTTCATCAAAACAATTTTATCAATATTTCAAACGTTTTTATATTTTTATAATTTTTTTATATTATGATTTTATATTTTACGATTTTTTAATCTCCTTTCAATTTTACTTAAAATTTCAATTTTAACAACATTGATAGTCACATATAATTACTTGATATTTTCTACGAGAATTAGTAAGTCCTGCGCTTATCTGCATATTTGATTTTCCCAATAATTCATGTGAATCTTCTAGCGTGAATTTATGGACGAGTTTATTGCATATCTGATCATTTTATACTTAAAAATAAATGAATCCTAAATGAAATATTAGTAATAATACATAATAGATTGTAAGTATTTTCCTCCCAATAAACTAGTAATCTAGTTCTTGAATATTCTTCGCTCGTAGTTTTATCTCACAAAATATTTATGTGTTCAAATTAGTTCCTAAATTTGTGAAAATTATGTTAGCTTAATTTTTATTCCTCACTCTAATCCCAAAAAGAACTAAATTCAATGTAAGTCTTATAATTACAAAACTAACTAACCATCCTAATTAAACATGTAAATGAATGTTCAATTATGTTATATCAATGTATGATAATTCTATTTATTTATGAACAAATCAAAAATAATGAGAAATGAGAGAAAAAAAATTAAAATAAGAAATAATAAAATCATGACTGTTGATTTATTACGTAACATAGAAAGTACCTCAGTTTTCTCTTGATCTCTCCTGTTATCCTGATCCATATATATAGTTCTTTTGTTGTTATCCCAACTTTTATCACCACCCCACCCACCCTGTGCACTGCAATCGAATATAGTTTCTAAGTTAATTTAAAACTAACCCTGGATTATTTAAACATTAAAGATTTTTTTCCCCTTACCTTTTCTGTCAAAAGATTCCTTTTCATTTTTAATATAATCAATTTTTTTTCCATGTTGTTGAGAGAACTTATATATATTAATCTCTCCACTCCATATCAATGGGAAAGGCAATGACTGCTTCCAATAATGTTTTCCATTGATTTTAGAATCGAATAAGTCACGACTATACTGTCTATATCCGGTAAGATAAAAAAATTTAATAATTAAAAAATTAAATAATAATAATAATATGTGAGTCTTTGTTTGTTAAAAAAACAGTTGAATAAAAAATTAATAAAAACAAAAAACTAGTTTAAACTGATTTTTCGCCACCCATTTTAGATTGGTTTGACCAATTCTTAGATCTACTGATTCTTTGGGTTATCTGGCCGGCCGGTGACCAGTTTTGCAGTCGAATTATTCTTTTTCATAAATATAAATTATATTTTTTTCATACATATAAATTCCGATATAAATTTGATATTCCTATATCAATTTCAAATTTATATATTTAAGCTACTGGACCCTTCCACTCGAATTAGCACATGATGATTTTAATCCAATTAGTTGTTTAATATGTGAAAGGAACGGCATATTAAATAAATTGACTTGCCAAAAATTAAAAAGCTATTAAGTAAATCATGCATATATTTATTGAATTATATATATATATATATATATATATATATATATA